TTTCACGAAGAAGAACACATCATACTGGTATTGAGCCATAACCCACATATGCTGTGAATGAAAGGGGGTGTTTAGTAGTAAAATAGGCAGTAGGTCATATTAGTTACAGATCGTGCCACTCTGATCTGAATGAGGTTTAACAATGAAAAAAAAGGTTTGCGTGACACGTTGGATCCTAGCTCTTCAACTGTTCTATTTTACAATCCAAACACAGTGCAGGGTCTCATAGTAAGGCTCTGTTCAGGGCACGTTGTCTTGTGGAGGCTGTTGTCCTTTTCATAGGATTAAGCTAGGGATGGATCTGTAACATAAAAGCTTAATATACTGTAGGAATGTTAATATGGATTTAGGCTTCTGCAGCTGAGACAGGGTTGAGTCACCAGGGTGCAGTGTCACCCCATGCAGACATTGGCATTTCTTGCATTCCCAAGAGAAAATCAATTAATTGGTTGCACATGGATTCGCCAGTTATCTATAAAACCAGTGCATGAAGCAGTCTGAGGTTGTCTCTTGCAAGACCCTCACAGTTGTTTAGGAACAGTGAGAAATAAAGAAGAAGGCTAGGAAAGGTTAAAGCTTTTAGGAAAAGCCTTTTTGTGACAACTTGCTCCAGTATAGCATATAAGAGGTTACAACTGGTTATCATGGATACAAATGGTTATCATTGGTAACAGCCTCGGTCGCTTTCTGGGTAGGACTGCCGGTAAATAAGGAGACGGTTAATGTGTGTACCTGACCAACAAGAATCGACCAAATTTCTGAGCTTGGGTTATTGCCACTGCTCCAGAGAATATACTTTATTTATTGAGTTCTATGTGCTAGACGCCCTGCCATGCTATCCTAAAAAGGAGTTCTTTCACATCTAGTGGCAGTGATGAGATGGAGCTCATGTGTTTATTCGGGATTGGATGTGCTTACTGCTGGAGGCAGCGATAATGGCACTAATGCAGGCGGTTGCAGTGCAGTAGGAAACTAACAGGATCCAGCAGGAAAATAATAAGAACCAATAAGATGCTATAAAGGCTCAGGTGGAAGCTATTAGGGTCTTCCAGCAGAGGGTGGAATCTCAGTTACCTCAGATTTCGGGAGCAAGGATCTGGATTATAACGGAGGACAGACATCCTACCACAAATGATTTCAGGAGATAACAGAAGTCTATTTAGTGGCATCTGAACAGACGGCAGAGAGACAAATTAGCGTGAGAATGATTAGAATGACTGAATGCAGCTGAGTATCATTAGATCCTTCTATAAAAATGTTCAACATTCAACGAAAGTTGTCTTTTTAAGATTAGGATAGACCATTCTCATGGTGATATTGTGATAAAGTCTAAAGGTTCAGTTTCATGGTGAGACATTAATCGTAAGAACAAATGCCTGCTGCTGTGTCAGGAATAGGGGCTAGTATTGCTTGTCTGAGAAGTAAAATACGATTAGCTGGAGTACTAGGATTGAGTAAAACACTAATCCCACAATTTTCCATATCAAACAATGTCTGAGAAGTAAAACATGGTTAGCTGGTATGGAGGATCTGCTGCAAGGCATTAATAAGAAAATAAAAAGAAACAAGAAAATGAACCTCATTCATTTTACTTCCAGTTTTTCTAAAGAGGCACCATTCATGATTTTTTTACTGTTATACTAATATCAGTTTATTTCCCTAATGAGAAAACAACACAAGATTGGGAAGCATCACAAAACTTTATAAGTTTCTGAATAAGTTTCCTTTTTTCTTTTTCTTTTACAGGGGTGAGAATGTTAATGTAACACAGAAAAATACAGAGAAAAAGCCGTGTTCATTTGAAAATTTAATACTGATAAAACAGATAAGGATCTTAAAGGACAATGAGTTTTTTGATGTTGCAGAAAAAAGCAGAACATAAAAGCAGCAAACTGAGGTGTAAAAAGCAAACTCCATGCTGTGTACAATTACCTGTAAGTGCTCCATTGCAACACTCTGAATTCCTACCACTTCTCTTTACTTACTTGCATAGAGTGCATGTGAGTCATCATTATCACAGACTGATCTGAAACTTGCTAATCCATAGTCTGTGATTTTTAATACAAAACGGCTGTCCACCACACAGTTGGATGACTTTAAATTTCCATGAGAACCAATGTGGCTGTTGTGCAAAAATGTCATCCCCTATTGAATGAAACAGAGAGTACAAACCATAAGAAACATTTTCTTGGTTAATGGATTTGTGTTTTGGATATCTACAAACATATATGTCTTTATTTTCTTATATGCTTCGTAATTACTTTTCTATTTATATACGAAGTTATATCGTTTTCATCGGGAAATTGATTTTTTTGTAGCAGATGCTTTGACATTTTCTTGAACAAAACACGGACACATTTATTACTGTGAAAGTCAGATATTTTCAGTGTTTGTGGCTTCCAGTAGAATCATCACAAGTTGTATATCTCCAGTATATGTTTTGCAGAAGGTTACAGATTCTGTCTTGTGAGATTATGTCCCATGTCTATTGTAGAGCCAGGACAAATATGTGCCTGTTCACTGTTCTCTGGGCTCTAGACACTAATCAACATTATTACTAATGAGGTGATTTAATGCTTGTGCAACAATCAAAGTTACTCAAATGTATAATAGTAAGTCAAATGTAATAATAATAATAATAATGTTTCTTTATTAGCCCTATACAATTTCTTGCATTAGGAATTCGTCTTTTTGCATACCCCAGCTTTTCTCCATGGAGACACAGACACACAGACAGGGAGAAGCTTTGAGTCAGAGCGCAGGGTCTGCCATTGTACGTATCAAAGTACTGTAGGTCTTCAACGATCAATTAATCAAAATGCTCAAACTAAAACTTAAATTTACCTAAATTAAATTATGTGTCTATAAACATGCAGGCATAAGAAGAGTGAGTTTCTTTTGATGCTCAGAATATCATTAGATATCGACAATAAGAAATAAGAATTTCAGTTATATATTTTTTTCAAGATTAAATTTTAAAATGTTCATTGGTTTTGAGAATGCATGTAAACTATACTTTCTTCTGCAGTTCTAATCAACTTAAATAAATGTATCTTCACAACCTAAAATAAGAAGCCCTGTATTGCAAATTTAAATTTAACAAAATAGTAATCAGGTAACCATCTTGGTTAATGCAAGAAATCCTTTGCCACATATTGTGATTGCGTTGTTACTAGAATAATACCTGCCAAGGTTTGGCATTAACTGACCAAACATTTTTTTAAGAACAAAAGTTTAAAGTTGCCAGTATGGGGCAGTTTGATCAAGCAGGTTATTTTTTTGTTGCGAAAGTAAAAATTGTCATTGTAAAAGCTGAGGTTCAAATGATGAAGCTGCCTAGTGGTTTCTAAGACAACAGTCATTTGAAGTTTGAGACCATTTGAAGAGTGCTTGATTTAAGCAGACAACCCATTTGATACTTCCTGTCCTGGAATAAATTTGTGCTCAGTTGGCCATCCGATTTATGCAGAAACCCTCTTTCTCTCCATGCTAACTGCATTTTCCTAACTGAACACTTTCTGAACAACTAACGTTAAAAGACAGGTTTTTCCCAGCAGACACATAAAAGTTGTACTGAAACCGGTGAGGCACTAATTTGAGGCTGGTGTGATGAAACCACCCAAATTTCAGGTCGATCAGTGCAGCAGTTCTCAAGACAAAAGTATTCTGAATTTTGCAAACAAAATGGGAGACATGTGGCCACTGTGTTTCATGCAAGAACCTAATTTCAATATACAGTTAGTTAACTGTATTGTCACTGGTTTGGAGTTAACTGGCCAAACAATTCTTGAAAAGGAGTAGTTTATGAAAGAAGCCATGTTTTGCCAAGCAATCAATGGTCCAGTGTGGTGAGGAAAATTAACACAGCAACTTGTGAGGTGCAAGGCAGAAGTAGTTCTGGTTTGTCTTTCACCACATTATAGAAAAGATATTGGTGCTCTGGAATCAGTCCATTGAAGAGTAACCAGATACATCTGTAAGGGAAAAAACGCAACAAAGCAATTCACTGGTACTGCAAAGATGTGGCTAAAGATTTTGTGGCCCGATGAGACACAATTGCAACTTTTGGGTTTAAATGTAAAGCATTACATCTGGTGCCAACCCAATGCAGTGCATCATTCAATCAACACCATTTCTACTGCCAAGCATGGTGGTGGAAACATTAAGATATGGGGCTGCTTCTCATTAGCAGAGACTGGGAAGCTTGTCAGGATTGATGGGAAAATAAAAAATAAAGGCAATGTTCTACACTGACAGGCTAAAGGAACTGAACTTTTTCAGCTATTTATGCAGGAATCCAGTTTTCACATATATGCATACTATCGTATCTAGAATTATACCTAAAAAGCTTGGCATTCAATTAAAAAAAATATTTTTTTGAGCAGGAGCAGATTCACATTGCCATTCTGAAAATTATGATATTTACAGCATCTTCAATGTCCTCAATGGCTAGGATTTAGAACACAGTTTCAAAAGTTGAAAGGAAAAAAGTTAAAAAAACCACAAACAATGTTGGCTTCCATTCTTTGAAAGTCTTATAATGTACAGAAACCTGGCCTAACAAAAGTATTCTTAACAGATGTCACAACTGTATTAAAACCCAAGCACAAGACACAATACACAATAAAGTGAACACAACAAAATGCTAATATCTGGGAAGTTAACCTTAGGATTCCTGTTCTTAAAGTGTTTATTTAATATGGTGGAGTTGTGTATATCTGCTTACATTTTTTCAAACCTAAAAAGGTAATATTCCTCCCTACAACATTACCCATAACTCAATGGGATTTATCATGGATAATTATAGGTATATTTTCAAATTTAAGTTGGACAGGTGCAATAGATATGCATGTGCATTCTTCTACAGAAGTAATTTCAGCACATTGTTATAGTGAATCTATATTAAACTCAATGAAGGATCATGATTTGAATCAATCATCAGCAAATTGAAGAATCCTTTATGTAACATAAATAAATGTCATGTAAGTGCAATTATAGAAAATAAAAATTGATGGAAAACCACTAAAAATCTTGGTAAAATGGCTGTTTTGCATTGAATAATTTCACACAATCCACGATGCTCGTAACTTCTGTTCTCTAATGAATTTCCCCAATGATCCCAGTTTAATATAAACAGCAGGAATCACTTTAAAAGCAATGTCTTTTAAAAATGCATGACATTTCTTATCACCTGCTTACAGGGTAAAAAAAGATTTGAGGACAACAATAGGAACAGATTATAAAAAAAGTGATTGAATGATGCTCTGAGTGATAAGCAAAAAAGGGTTTATCTCTTACTTACAATCACATAGGAGGAGTCAGAAATTATTGCACTTATAGATAATCAAGTTCTAGAGATTATTAAGCATCATGCTTTATCAGTAACTGAAGGGTGACAGTACAGAATCATTGAGTGATTTATCAAAATCAAGATAAGGAACATATGTATCAAGGAATGTGACTGTACATGTCATGCTTACACTTGCATCAGCAACTACCAGCAACCTTACCATTCCTCTTACCTTTACTATATCATTAATGAGTGAGTAGCGAAACATCCAGTCCAAGTTAATGCTTTCATTTTCCAGTATATCCTGAAAAAAGCAATAATGAAAACAATTACTGATAGAAATAACTTGCACTAATTATCAGTAGGTAGAAGAACATTAATTAATAAAATCTAAAGTAAAGCAAACTAAATATCCTAAAAGAGCAGTACCCAGAAATATTTTAGGATGACAACTTAAATGTTTCAAATGATTTTAGATTTGCAACACCTAAAATTCATGTGTTATATCATAATGCTGAATGTCTTTTTTAATAGTATCCTTGATGTGTTATAAACATGGGAATTATTAGTGGAATGTTTTGACTGTTACACATTTTTACTAGTGAGTTTGTAGAGAGCAAGAACGGTTGAGATCTAATTCCCTGCTTCATTTTTCCTGACACACTCCTGCAGAATGAATTACACGCCAGAAAACAGTTTCCTATGAGTGTAGTCAGCAGAAATGATGAAAGAAAATATTAGAAATATGGAGGGGAAATACCACTTCAAAAATATAATGATGCTGGTAAAACATTTTGAAAATATTACAGACGTGCTATTTATGATATACACTAAGTTTAAATCCTACGTGTTGCAAGAGAACGCCTCACACATCTGGCAGTCTGTTATTAACGTTTTGACTTATTCCATTAGAACATGTTTGTCTTGACTCCTGTTGAAAGATTCCATTTCAGTCTTGGTGGCTGCAAGACTTTGAGGGATTAAGTAAAGACTGTGGTGAAAAGGAGTGTCTGGGTCTTTTGGCCTCAATTGTACAGGCCATGTTTCTTGAATGGTTAAATAAAACATTTAGATTTCAAAATCTTCAAAACTGTTGTGCAAAGGTACACAATTATACTATAGAATAGATGGCTATAAATACTATAGATGCGAGAAGACTAGTGTCTTCAATGAAAATATAATTTGTTCCCTTATAAGTCTTATACGCAACTGAAAATGTAAAAGTATACATTAACTGAAACATAAATTAACTGAAAGTAGAAGTAATCCTTGAATATAAGCTATTATGAACTACTGTCCCATCCTTGCTTATAATTAAATACTATACTATACACAAATATATATGTGTGTATATATATAAATGCTGTCATCCATGACCTCAATAAACAATTTCTCAGGAAAAAAAACACATGAAAGAGACATGATTTTATTAAGATGTGATAAATCAGATTTTCACTCCTGTCATGTGTCCAATTTTCCAGCTACTCACCTGTAGACTACCTCTTGGGCAGTATTCAGTCACAATGCAAATATTTGGAGGATCAATGCAGGCGCCAATGAATCTTGTTAAATGGTTGAACTGCACATCTCTCATCTGAAACATATTAAAATAAACAAAATGTTATCAAAACTTCTAAATAAAGTAAAACTTTGGAGTGGAAAGGGAAACTTAGGATGGGATTTTCCATGAGGCAAACTGTGGGCAAATTGCCCATACAATTTATTTTCTATGGAGTGGGCAGTTTGCCCACAGTTTACTCACAGTGGAAAATAAGGGGCTTGCTTTGTTTTCCGAGCATCTAGCAACTTTCAGTAAATGGAAAATTACACAACCCAAAAGGTGTTTCGGATTTATATATTTCTTTTTTCATTCAGGACAGTCAATAATGATTTTGTAAAAATGTATTAAACATCTATACTCTAACCCAGTTTAAATCCTTGATAATGTGTAACACATACTCAGTTGTATTTCATGAACCATTTTCTAGATAATAAGAATAAATGAAACAAGAAATGAAATACAAAGATTGCACAGATACTAAGACTAAACATTATCTGCACTGGTGTTCAGAGAAGTTTGTTAGTAGTGGCAGCAGCTAATCTTTCCAATTCCAATGCAGATAAGACACAATATTCTTTGTACTCCAGCATTTTAAAAGGAAAGCTTTGAAACATTTTAAATTTCTGCTTATGAATTACTTTTCAGTGGAAACTTCCAAACCTGAGAAGGAAAAAGAAGATAGGGAACAGAATCTATTTTTAGCAGTAAACTGCAGCGTGCCACTGTGGGGAAGTTTCACTGTAATGAGAATACCACAGAGAGTTGGACAGCCAGCATAAGAACACTGATATAAGAACCTGACAATATCACTGCTATAACTGCTGCCACTATCCTTTTTTGTTACTGTATCATTTCAGAGCATTCAAAAAGGGGCGGAGCAGTGGCTAGAAGGTTGCTGGTTCAAATCCCGCAGCTGGCAGAGGAATCTTACTCCATTGGGCTCCTGAGCAAGGCCCTTAACCCCAACTGCTCCAGGGATGTCTGTGTGTCTCATAGAGAGCCAACTGGGGTATGCGAAAAGATAATTCCTCATGTATGAAATTGAAAAGGGTTAATTAAGTGATGTTATTAAAAGGGTCAGCAGCAAATGTCCTGTGTTGTGAATAATTACTGACATGGAAGTCAAAGTACAAGTGTTCCTGGGAAAAAGTAATAAGGAGATAGCTACTGTATAACATAAGTTACCGAACTGCAAATATCCCATCTGTAAAATATCAAAACAATTCTTGTCACCGCTATAACAAGATTATTATTATATATTTTTACTCAATTTTTGTTTCATAAAAAAAAAACTTGTTCACTTCCCAACATGCAGGCAAAACCCTACTGTATCTCCTTTTTCTCTCTCCATTTTCTAAGAAATGCTTTTCTGTACAGTATTTGTTCAAATCCATTCCTGATTAGATGAAATGGTTAAAGTGCATGTACTAAAAACAACCAAATAATCACATATCATGGCAAATTAAAACTCACGTCATCCATGTGTAAATTCAACACATTCAAATTGTGAGCATTGTCATAAAAGCAGCTATTTTATTCTAATTTAGCTGAAAATAGAAATTTCTACTAGCCATCTGCATTATTTGTAGATACAACAATGCATATATCTTCCTAAATCTTGTTACTACAGCAGAGCTGGAGTTAAGAACAAATCAGACCACAATTAAATATTAGTAATTGAAGATGAAATATGTTTTAGTGCGAAAAACAAATCTTATCAATGTACTGTAAGTTACATTCAGTGCACATGGATTTAATCTTGTTAAATTGTGGCTTTGGGGAGAGTTACCTGAAAATGTAAGTATTACATGTTTAAAAACAGTATTTTGAAGTCAGTACTGGCAGGATACATAGTTGATCATGTACTGTCTGTTGATTCTTCCTGTCCTGGTTGGCCTTTCATGAGATTTAACGTCCTGCACTGTAGTTAAACCCTTCAGGTTTGAATGGTGGCACCAAAAAATACGAATAAAACCTTAAACTATTGACCCTCAAATTTATGATTTGACTAACAGATTTGTGATAATTGGAGCTGGCTTAGAAGACAGACACAAATAATTGGAGCTGGGGTTTTATGTGAAGGTATGGGAGACAAAACAGGTTTATTGATTTCACATGTCTATTGAAGGCCTCAGTATAGAAATAACTTCCCTTGTGGGTGTTCTTGTAGCACACCCACAATCTCTAGCACTTCTTAAGTTCATGCAAACACGCTTTCTTATCACAAACAAGATCTGTTTTTCTGTTATAGTCAAACTTACATGCTTCAGTTCAAACAGCACTTGTCTGGTCAGCTCTATCCTCTTCTTGTTTACATGCTTAATTGCCACTAGATTGCCCTGGATTCAAAGAAGAGAAATGTCAATGAACCAAACAGTACTAAATAGACTATACTATTTTAATTGACACACTCACATGAACACACAGGAGGGAAATGCTTAATTCTTAATGCTATGTTCTATTTTTGTTTATATTCTTCTTGTGATTTAATGGACTTTTTTGTATTGGTATGTCCCCGAAGAACAACTTGTTCTACCAATTCTCATCCCTCTCTATATATTTTTTCGTATTTTCAAGAAAAGAAATAACTTGGATTTGTCAAGATTCCTTGTTCAAGGTTCCTTATGCCATGCTTTATCTGGCATGAACATATTTTCATCACACAATATTAGCATGAAAATATAAATTCACTTATTGGGAACCTTAACCAATTGGCACAGATTTCTTAGACATGCAAGGTAATAAGATTCAAAAACTGCTTTGCCAAGACTTTAGTTTCATTTGGTGTGTAGCAGCTGGGGTGCACTCTGGAGGACAACAACTGAAGGAAAAAATGAAAACCACATTAAGTATAAAATAATATAAGACACTCCAATCCCTAAAATATTTTTTAAAAATGTATTTAATAAGACTGTTGTTGTGTTTGCTACTTTATTGAACCTTCCTGCATTCTTTCATCACATGGAGTTTTTCCTCAGTCCATTAATGCCCCAGCAATTAATAGTCCATCAATTGTCGCCAGCAGCACTATCACTCTGCAACTCACAACTGGAAACTCACTGCTGCTAAGCAGGTGTGAGCCTGATCAGTACCTGGATGGGAAACCTCCTAGGAAAAACTAAGGTTGCTACTGGAAGAGGTGTTAGTGGGGCCAGCAGGGGGCGCTCACCCTGCAGTCCATGTGGGTCCTAATGCCCCAGTATTGTGATGGGGACACTATACTGTAATCTGGTGCTGTCCTTTGGCTGAAACATAAAACCGAGGTCCTGACTCTCTGTGGCCATTAAAAATCCCAGGATGTTTCTTGAAAAGAGTAGGGGTGTCACGCTGGTGTCCTGGCCAAATTTCCCATTGGCCCTTACCAATCATAGCCTCCTAATAATCCCCATCTATGAATTGGCTTCATTACTCTGCTCTCCTCCCCACTGATAGCTGATGTGTGGTGAGAAACTTTATTCTTCAGAAGACTACACTACTGTATATACCATTAGTAGACTGTCCATTTCCCATTATATCAAAACCTTGACATGCTTTTTAGTTAGTTGATATGGATGAAACTCTCAAATGGTAAATATAGTTATATTTTTGCATAAAGATGGAGATGTGATTCTTCTCTCTGTTGTATATCTTTTGTTCCAAAAGTTATTTACATATCAATAACAGAATCTTGGTTTTGGCACTTTCATTTTTAGCATTTCTACTTGCTTCATGTACTACAGAATTATAGGCAGCAACATTTATATATCTGAACATTCCATTTGGGGAAACATATTCTTCTTCTGCATATCATCTTCTGTGTATTATCCACCTTCTATAATGTAGAAAGATGCATGAATCACATGTCAGGAGACTTTCATACAAATGTTCTAATCCTATTTTCAACACTGAGTGTATGTGGAGGAAGATAGGCATATATGGTTGATAAGTCAAAATTCATCTTACCTTGAAATAGCCAGTTTTTGCAAATAGCTGGTATTTTCCATGTGCTGTTATAAGTGACCCATAACTGGAGCCTCTCTAAAGCAAATAAAGAGCAGCAATTAAAATAATTGAAATACACACATAATTATAGTTAGATATGAGGAATAAAACAGAATAAAGAATTAAAATAAAAAGTTGGATTAGATATTTTCTCTTCAAAATGTAATTTCTGTATAAAAGTCTGAAAAGGCAGCTGAATCATTTCTAGCCAAATACTGTAAATGTATTTATGCTCAGGTAAAGTACATTTTAAGGTCACAGAACTATGTTAGAGAGACATCATTTGATTAAACTTAGAAATCTGAAAAAGATCCTTACCAAGAATTTGCCACGAACACCAAATATTTCAATTTAGTCACAACAAAACACAAAAGGCTGATTCATACAAGTAAGGAAAATATTTCTACAACTTCCAACTGCAATTACAGTTTTGGGCTCAATTATAAATTATATAATTACATATCAAGTAATCTGAGACCAAATTAATAAATTATTATAACTCAGGAACAATTTAAATAAAACAGTTTAGTTTTAAAACAGGTTCGATAAATTAATATATGTATTTACAGTACAATACAAAAAATACAAACGTACTACCTTGAATAGTGAAAAATATTTGGAAAGAAAAGGGTTGGGAGGGAATCTGTTGATCAGCATATTCTTGGAATAAAATAAAGTTGACAACAAGAAGGCCATTCGTGTAATCTCTTTCATTTGATTTTAGTGACTAATTGATATTAGATTAGGATCTCTTGAAGGATTCTTGAAAGAAGCAACAGGTATCAAATTCGATTAACTGGCCAGGTTATGTGCTTGAGACTCCATTTTTGAGGTAAATTCTGAAGATAATGTCATTAATACAGAATCCTCTGGTAATCTTCTTATTATATCAGTGCTATCTGTACTCTATTTTTTAATCCAATCATTTATCCAATCGCCAGTACTAAAACCATATATGTGCATGTTCATGAGTGTCTGCTGCTGATAATTTGAAAAATATTGTCATAAGCAACTTTCTCAGAAGTTGAATTTACCATATGCTCTTTGCATCCCTCATTGTTGTTGCCGGTTAATATAACTAGTTAAGAAAGAAAATCCTATTTGCAGACTTCCTTTAGTTTAGTTCTAAGATTGGTTACATAACCTTACATGCAATAAAAATAAGACTTATTGGTCTATAATTATTTAGCTTGGTTATGTCACTCTTTTTATGGATGGGTGGAGCAATTTACCTTCCAATTACAACCCTGTCTTGAGAGACTGCTGGAACAGTTTTGTTAATGTCCAATTAAAATACTAAATTACGTCTGTCCTCAGTCTTTTTTTAATTTTGTCTGTTCCTCTCTTTGGAAACGGCTGAGTGAAATATCCAGGAAATAAATCAATCATCTTTTTTTATTTCTGAGACACTTATTCTTTACTATTATTTTCCTGTTCAATACTGTTGCGTGTTGGAGGTTGTCAGGTATTTAAATACACCTCACAGACTTTCTTCTCTTCATGACAATCCCTAGACAGCAGTAGAATTCTGAATTGTCTAGATTTCAAGGGGGTGAAGTCACTTCCGTAACAGGTTTAGTGCATTAAGCCCTCTTACCCTTACTTACTTACAGTATGTTCTAATGATTCCAAATTTACATAAGATTGCATTAGATGTTCTGAATTTGGTGGACTGTTGCACATTCTGTCATGGCTGGGAATCCACAGCATTTCCACAAGCACTCCCATTCCACCCGAACCCATGATAATGAAGTTGGGCCTCCTGTCCAGCACCATTCCAATGAGGATACCAATCATCCAATTAACTGTTTCTATTCAAAATACTTAATTAGTGCCAAAATGCCACTGGGAGGGAGCTCTGACATGGAGTCTACCCGTAATAGTGCAGTGCCCAAGGCAGCTCCACAAAACGCAAATTTAAATTCCTGAAAACCTAGAAAACCTCAAAGTCGTGGTCATGGCAACTCAATCCTCAAACCTGTCTTTCTCTGGATAAAACATCGTTCCAGTGCTTTCTTTGCTCAGGATTTCCCCAGTTCCTTCAATTTTCACTCTGATTGGCCATTACTCTGCTCAATCTTCATGCGGTATCAGCTGTCACGCCCTTTGCAGCCAGAGGGCACTCCTTCTCTGTCCTGTCTCTTATTTTCGGTTCTTTGCTGTCCTTCCTGTGTTTCTCTCTCCCTGGGGCTATATATTTCCGGGTCTTTCATTCTGTCTTGGCTCAGCATTGACGTTCGGATGTCCTGAAACCCGCCTAGCACCAGGTCGCCCCACGTCCGCTACCTGAGGGCATAGGTTTCTACGCGGCATTCCCTGAACAGCTAAGCCTGGGCTAACCCCCGTCTCGCCGCTACGCATAGGATCTTATCGCTCTCCTGTCATTCCACGGTTCGTCCCTTTCTGACATCCGTGACATCGGCTGTCTATGGCGAGCATCAGCACTTCCTCCTTTGGCCTTTCCCAGAAACCGTTTGAAACACCCCGAGTCAGAGTAATTGGATTTCTGCGCCTGAGGCATAACACATTCCTAATATCCTGCACTTGCCTTCTTCTGTAAATGTAACCCATAGAGATTCATAGACACTTGATCTATCTTTATTGCTGTGGCTGAATGCTTTTTTTGATGTATGTATAGTGTAGTTGTATTTTCGTCTTTTCAGAATGCTGCATATCTTGAATATTTATTTTAAATACAACACAGATTCAACATATTAACATTTTCTTTTCTGGAAATTCCATTTCAATTTGGTTATGGAATATCTCTGCAGATCCTTCTCCCAAGACAAACCATATCATTCTCATTTAAATTTAATCCACCATGTGAGTATCGGTAGTCTCTGCCATAGAAAAGTTTCCACTGTCTGTGAAGGCTGAAGCAGTCTTCAGCACATCATGTCCTCAGCCATGTGTTGCATTTATGGATTACTTTTTCCAGCTCTTAGCCTTCGCATACTTCAGGAAGCATTTCTGTCAAAACCACTGTTTTAGTACTAATGTTCAGCATTTTCCATGGTCATTTAGTTTATTTTGCATGGAAAAGTCTTGTTTTATGCCAATGTAAACTGTCTCAACAAGAAACACAACAAGTTGGTCTTTGCATTTGTCAGGATCTTGTCTACTCTTTGGACGATGTTAACCACCCTAATCTCCAATGAAACAGGGAACTGACGCATATCTCACTTGCAGTGTTTCTGAGAATTCTGTTATCAACATTCACCACTTCTCTTTTTTGTGTTTTTGGTGCCATTCACATTGCTTGAAGTTGTAAAAGGTGTTTGAGGAGCTGTGAAGAACACACCTGCCTAGGGTTTTCAAAGTTTTATTTGTCTGCTCCCAGATCAATGCATCTGGGAGCAGACTTGTTATTGATGTAATATAACTTGGGGTTTTCAGGTTAGGCTTTTGTGTTTTATATCCTTACTCCTTCAGGGACCAGGTCCTCTCTGTCCGCTTCTCTGTGCTGTTGTTCTGACAATTTGGAGTGTATACCTCATTGACAGTGAGGTATGTAAGTTCTTCGAGCTCATTATACTTTCTCCGCTCTTTAAGCTCCTTCTCCAGTGCTGTACATTTTCACATTGGGATTTTTCTAGGATGCTCCCTATATTAGCAAACTGCAAATCATAGGTTTAAGAACTATGGTCATGTTTAAACTGGGTCATACATAGGATGAAGAAGCTTTTACTTTAAAAAATGTACTATATTTGATCACACACTCACCCTCCAGAGAAGTCATATATTTTCCTGAGAGGGGAGACAGTCAAGCTGTCACCATATCTGCCTACAACTGAGTTCCACATGTGATACTAAATCCTCCAAATTGCTCACGAGTAATTGTCAAACTTTCTCGCTCATACACAAAACACCCTACAGCAGTAAAATGCAAACAATGCAACTTAAGTGTATTATGCTCTTCGAAAAGAGGTACTGGCTGACAACTGCTGTGTTATGTGGCAACTAGCCTCAAAGTTCCCCTCACCTCTCCTGTAGCTTTTCTCCCTAATTGCTTAGCAAAAATACCTTGGCCAACTGCACAACAGTGACTGCCTGGCATCTGTGAGCTTTTGGTGTTTTGACTTGGAACCTACAGTGTGAAAAAATGCCAGGAGTTTTAAGAAGTGTAAATTTCACATTCCAGAGTATTCCACATTAGGGTAATGAAATAAAAAAGAGTGATTTTTAAATAAAACATGTATAGTAATAGACTAAATAATAATGTAAGAAAGTGTGAACTGACCCTTACAACTTTTTGTAACACGTTTTCCCATTTTCAGTTTCTTTCAGCTGTGGAGTCTTCACATGTGAGCAACCTCCCGAAGCAAACTAACCTCTCCTTGTTCCTTTGTATTTTTTTGGGTGTGTGATCAAAAGGAATCAATTGAATGTACAACTCATTACTAATATTGTATGTTTTTTTTGTTTTTAAAATTAAATATTCTCTCTCTCCCTCCATGTTAGAAATATGGGGCTTTGTAATTATGTATTATGTATGTTTCACTGCATATGTATGAAATATTCTCGAAGCCCAACAACTCAATGTAAACTGCTGTATATCTGATATTAGCTATTAAGGCAGTAAATCTATGGTATTTACAAATACAAAAAAAAAATCTCCTCGGTTAGGTTCCTGGCCATTAAAGTCTTTGGTTCCTAAAAATAGTTATCGTACTACAATAAACAATTTTAACTAATCTTAAAATAAAATTGTTAAAATGTCACTAGAACATTACCACAGTATGACATTACTGAATAAAAGAGAAAAAAAGACCTGAACAATGCAAAGGCTTTTGAATAGATTGTAATTGTTTCCTATTCTCATTGTCTCTTAAACCTACATTGTCAAGCATTTAGTATTTTTACGTTTTCATTTGTAAATGACATTCTAAAATATACACAAATACTTTTGGTTGTCTGGGTGTTATAAATGACATAATTAGTAGAAAAAAAGTTACATCCCACTGCTTTTCCTTTATTGTTAATATTTATAGTATTTTGAATTCTGGAGTCAAAAGCAATAGGATTTCTAAAGATGA